CGACTTCAAAGTACTTATATAATGATGAATTGTAATAAGCCGTATTTTTTATTTTCCCATTTTCCAGTGTTTTTATTTAGATGACCAAACGGGGAGTAAGCCTTCCTTTTTAAAGGAACTTGCCAAATCGGTTTATCTAAATGTTCGTTAAATAAGAGTGTAATAATTTTCAAACTTATTATCTAGGCTTAACTTAAAACAAAAAAGCGCCACATTACACGTGTTGTGTGATTTTTTTAAGAAACTAAATGTTATAATCCGTAACAAGGTCTGATGGCATTTGAGATTAAATTTATTATATATATATATATACATATATATATATATTATTAAAGACAGAGAGATAAATTACAGCTTACTCAATGTTAGCTTGTCACTTATTATTTTATATGATACTTGCGTTTGCCCACGGCTTCGCTCGTGTAAAAGCATTTTTTTTTTATAAATTTGACAGCCTAATTTTTTTTTAAAGAAATAGAAGCATTTGAGCTAACAAAGGCTTCTCTTTATCGTCATCGTTTTTAACACCTCGTCCAGATCCAGAAAGCCGTTTTGGCGTAATTGAGTAACAAATTTGACTTACGTTACGAAAAGTTAAAAAAATATCTTTTTTTTTTAAAGAATTATAATTGTACTGAGCGTTTGGAATCGATAAGGTACTTTTTTAGGGTACTTTTGAAAAATTAGTTACAATGTTTTTATTACTTTTAATAAAGAGTATTTACCGTGTGGTCGAAAACGCTACTACCAAAAATAACGAAGTTTCATATAAATTTTCAACCCCCATTTAGATCACTTAGGGGTGGAATTTTCAAAAATCCTTGCTTAGTGCACATCTACGTCACCTGAGGAATATTTGTGCAAAACTTCATGCTTCTAGACACAGCGGTTTCAGATGTGCGTTGGTCAGTCAGTCAGTAAATCAGGCTGTCAGTTTCTTCTTTTATATATGGATTGAAAATGAAAGATTATTTTCATACCATATTATATAAATCAACGCTTTTCATGGTTAATGCGAATGAAGATACGGTTACAGCTATATAGAAAGTTACGGTGCTTCATAATAAATAAAGCTTCCGGACGATTCCAACAAGTCGATTAGTGTAGTTAGTATATATTGTAGAGATATATCTTAGACACGGCTAGCCGATATTTTTTTGTTGGATGGTGCAATGATTAAGTTATTATTATTGTCTGGTGCCTTTATTAGGCCAGACTATCCAATACATAGACACACAGTGGAAATGACATTCTGCACGCGTAGATGAATACATTTCTACTATTAAGTGTCGTTTATAAAAATAATAATATAAACTATTAAAACAAAACCAAATTATCTATTGTTGAATCCAATTTTTATGTGTATACATTTATAGCAGCAATAATAATTGTAAAAAACTCTTTCTCTCTCCTAACATTTTGCTGTCCCGACAGGGTCCATAATTGTAACTTAATTATAAGCTTGACATCTGTATCACATTATGGAATGCAATAAATGTACTTGAGATTTGAGATTTAAGTTTATTCAATTTCTAACCAATTACTAAATAACCTATGGACTGTATATGCTGCAATAAAGATGTTTTTTTTTTCGATTTTTGTGTTAGTGTGTTTACAAATTAATTACTTACTATACCAACCCGTCTGGCCAGTAAGCCAAAACCTCTTTTCTAAGGAGAAGCCCATGTCCAGCAGTGAACTATTTAAGGTTGTTGATGATGATGATGATGACACTAAAAAAACAATACAACTTTGCCTACAGGTCCCTTAAAAGATCTATTGCTAGGGTGAAATAGGATACCCTGGGATAGGGCCTGATTAGGCATGGTGTCAATTCGGGGAGGACCTGAAATAACATGGTCCGGGTCCTCCCCAGAGTAGGACACCTGAGGCCGGCCGTCGGGGTGGTTTTTAGTGGAATCACTACATACTCCTGGCTCCTGAGTCCCCGAGGAGCCGGAGATTCGAAGGGATTTTCCACCCCGTCAACAAAAAAAAAAAGGGTGAAATAGGAGCATATCAGCCGGTTCTGTGAGTGACTAGTAAGACTTCCTTCTGGAACTCGTGCATTCTGGTTTCGGGCCAAGGCTGTCGGGGGGAATTTCTGTAGTCAATCCCTTCCACCCTTGCAGATTGGAGATAATTCGTTCGCATATGATGCCAAAGAGAAAACCGATCACCTAGGCAAACTCTTTGCATCCAACTCGACTTTGGATAACGGGGGGAACGTACCGCGTTGCCAAAGCTATATGACGGAAATCCGCTTCACACAAAAATCAGTGCGAAGTCGAGTGGGCCCGATGGAATCTCTCCTATCGTGTTGAAGGGAATACGTCATCCAGAGTCGAAACAAGTTTGTTTCGACTCTGGATGACGTATTCCCTGAAATTGAATTGAATTCCCGTCTGAAATTGAAACTTCCTTAGCGGAGGTTTCAGATTGGGGCCGACAAAATCTAGAGCAGTTCAACCTAAAAAAGACACAGGTCTGTTCGTTCACCGCCAAGAATATACCATTTGTCGGAATACGTCAGCTCGTTTTGAGAGTACCTCCCTAACTGCCTCAGCCAGCATCGGAATCCTAGGCCTCGACATATCGAGCGCAGTCCTTAACCTTTAAGAAAAGAGCGTACTCCTGCCTAAAAGGCCGGCAACGCGTTTGTGACTTCTGAGTTGCAGACGTTCATGGGCGGCGATAGTCACTTTCCATCAAATGACTCGTCTGCTCTTCTGCCCAGATCAGAAAAAAAATATCGCAGATGAACCAACAGACTAACTAATGTTAAGCATCTGACTCGATTCAAAAGCTACAGGCACTAAAGTGATTCAGCAAAATCAATTATTAATTGAATGGGATCTTCATGTGTGTTTTTAAAAAAATTTTCATTATTTTTCTTTTGATCAGCTACACACTACGCCATTGGCTACGTGTTGAAAATTTCGCGTTCAAGAGCTACAGCAGATATTCAAATATTAGATTGAACAAAAAAACAGTGAAAAAAAACAACTTTCTCAAACTTTCCTCTTCAGTTTATATTTAATTCTATTTGTCTTTTATTCCAAATTAATTGTGTTATACACACTTTGAAAATTTAGACTGTCTACCTACTACGGTAGCCGAAAAACAGACGATGAAAACATCACGTTTTCAGAATTAAAGGTTCTTTTGTCTTATTTTGTATTCCTTATTGTTATAGAAGCAATCGAAATAGATAGGTAATGTGTCAATAATTTGAACTGTGTCCGTATTCGCTACAAGAGATACAGCCCACTGACGGCCGGACAGCGAAGACTTTGTAATTGTGAATAGTGTTACATTGGCACCCTTGGAGTGCAGAAATTTTAGGGTGCGGTTATTGACATTAACGATATTTATGTGTGAAGTGATATTAAGATATACTTCGAGATGTGACTTGAGACCGTAACAAATAAGTTACAGTCTAGTGAGCACCTGCCCTTATCTAAATACTAAAATAACCTTATCGTTATGACCTTTTGTTGCGCTGTATTTTGCTTGTCCTATATTTTATTTGAATCAGTATATAAGGTACGTATTACTCATAGTGTTCCTTTTTTGTTAGAGACTTAATTGAAAGTTATTACTTGCAATTATTCACATGAAGAGATATTTCTCTTCATCAGAGATATTACCCTTCATGTAAATAAAACAAATCTAGTAGCACAGTTCAGTGCTTTAAGTATTCCTTAATATGTGTCAATATGTGACAGATAGCGCTTCTTAGTCAAATATAATCTCTTAGTGAATGTCTAAACGTTTAGAAATTAAGGCGGAAATATACTCGTATATAGACAACTCTTCTCTTATAATATAATTCCAGTTTGCGCTCTCGTAAAATAAAACAGAGGCAATGACCAACATTCTGTTGTAGTTGTTAAAAAAATATCTAGAACTTCATACATAGTATAAACAATGAGCCTAATCTGAATATTATCTGTATTTACTAGAAAGGGGAATCTAGGTATTGATCCGTGTGCTAGAAGTCATTGTGCAAGGCCTGCTTAGTTTGGGTCTAGATGGCTTTGTGTAACGTAATCTAGAATATTATAATTATTATATCTTTAATCATCACGTGCTTTCGCACCATCTAAAAATAATTTCCTAAGCAGCTCATAGTTTGAATGAAAGCAAAATTAAAATTGTGTTTTTCCTTCGCACCAAGAATAGAACCGTCATAAATAATGTTGAAGTCTCTTTAATCACTTTGGCGATTAGAACTACACACGATAATTTAGTTACACAAGATGATTTATAGTTGCTTAGTCTATCCTGGTTATTACGTTTGTCATCTGTTATCAGTTTCATAATGAGATGGTTTGTAATAGATAATTTGTGACAAAACAATGGAGTACTGTGGCAAAACCATTACTGGTTTAATTTAGAGAATCATGAGCGGCTGCCAAATTACATGTGAGTATATAATATAAACAAACTATAACAGATGTCACCGTTTTAAAAAGATTTAAAACAAGTAGTGATCACATAATGGTTCGCGCTACATTCCGATGTAATCTCAGTAAAGAAAGATCTAAGATAGTCAAGCCACAACACCAAAATTAAGACAGGAACGCGTATTTTTTTTTACAAAAAGAGCTCCAACTTGAACTGAAAAATCATATTGATGCATTGGAGGAGATGAACATGGACGTTAATAGTATGAACAAAGAATTAGTTGAAATGGTAACCAGTACAATCAAAAAACATTAGGAGCAATAAAGTCAAAGGATAATAAATTAACATCCCCTGTCACTATTGAAGCAAAGAAGAGAATTGAAAAATAACAACATAACATACCAAAGAAAATTAGAGCTTTTAAATAAAACTATTAGATAAGCAATTAGATATGATCTGAGAGCATTTAATACTAAAATAATCACAAAAAGAACAACTAACAAACCAGAAGCCCAAAAGTATTTAGACGCAAATTAGCTACCCATAAATTAGAAATAAACAAACTTTAAAATAGGCCAGATGAAATTGTGATGAATCGAGATGGCATTATTCAAATAGTAGAAGAGTATTACGGTGCGTTATATTCGTGCAAAGAAATGGAACCTGATTCGCCAAATGCTGCAGATCTGCTAGCAAGCTCAATTGAACGTATGGATACTGAGTACATACCACCCATACTTGCAAACGAAAAGCATCTTTCGAGGATGGAGTTTATGTTGAGATGCTCCAGGCAGGAGGACTTACAGTACTCAAATCACTTGCTAAACTCTTCAATAAAGTGTTGACTGAAACCAAAACAACCGAAAAACGCCAGTGTCTCAATCCTGCACAAGAAAGGCGATAAGAAACTATTGGAAAACTATAGACCCTTCTCTACCGGATATATAAGTTATTCGACAAGATATTATGCAATCGTCTGTCGCGTACTCTCGACGATTACCAACCAGCCAGCCTGCTCGGCTTGAGCAGGCTGGCTTCGATGTGGATGTCGATTATGAAAAGGCATTCGACAGCGACGAACACTGGGCAGTGTTTCACTTTCTCCATTGTTTCAATATTATGTATGAATATTTATTTATTATGTATGTACTAAGCGCTACTTGAACTTATAAGCCTGCAACCATGCAAGTACGCATGCATAAGTTATCTGACCTTAATGCAATAGTAAATCCTCAATGCATAAGCCGCAGAGTGCGTCAAGCGTCAACCAAACTCTTCACGCGTCTTTTGGAGGATATCATGAAAACTTTGTATTGGGAGGAGAAAAGCATTATCATCAACGGCTGCAACTTGTCGCACTTGGGTTTTGGCGACGACTTCATTCTCGTTGCCAAGTCCGCCGCAGAACTTCGTCCAATTGCATGAAACTTCATTGAGTGTCGGCCTCAGGATGAACATGTCGAAGACCAAGGTAATGACAAATCACATGTCCCACATACCTAACATCGTTGTCGGTAACCACCGAATAGAGACAGTAAGATGAGTATGTTTACCTTGGTCATCGTCTATCCTTTGGCCGGGGCTTCCAGTTGCGGGAAATTGCCAGGTGTATTCATCTGAGGTGGGCTGCTTTTGGAAATTGGAAGACGTCTTCAGGTCAAAAATTCCGCAATGTCTGAAAACCAAGACATTTAACCAATGTGTTCTGCATATTATCACTTATGGATCCGAAACATGGGATCTCACAAACGAGCACGTGTATGTCATAAGGGTTACTTAAAGAGTCATGCAGCGGGTTATACTAGGTATCTACCTCGTCGACAGTATACCAAACCTCGAAATTCGAAAGTTGAGGATGTGGGTATACGGATTGCGAGGCTTAAGTGAAGATGGGCAGGGCACTTGGCATAACGGGACGACGACTGATGGACTAAGGCAGTTACCGAATGGTGACCAAGAGATATGCGACGGCTTCGAGGCAGACCACCTGCCCTATGGTCAGATGACATAGTGAGGGCGGTAGAAGTGCAATGATGATTATTTTCCAGATGACAATACGAATATCACATTAAACTATGATTCGTGACCTTGCTTTATTTTAATTCGTTTGTCAAAAGAATAGTAACTGTGTTATTTTTATAAGGAGTGGGTTTATAATGACACGATATCTATTAATGCATATCACCTGGCACTTGGTCGTTACAAAGTCTCGTATATCTTGCAGATTGTGCTAGTATATCATATTTTTCCTAAATCCCTACAAAGGTAAGATAATTAGGTTTGGGTAAAACTTTAAGTAATTTTGATGGTGGTTAGTTAACGCTAAAGCTAGGAACGAACTCATTTCTAAAAGCGCTCCTATTAATAAAAATGTAACACATATGTTATAACTTGGATATATGACCGAGGTGTAAAATAGCTGAGGCGTGCTACGTGCTCCGGACTGTTATTACGTAAATATATAAATAATTTGCGAAACTACTTATATTTCATAACAAAAAGCTTTTTAAAAGCTTAGATTCACTAGTTCACATTCTTAACAAGCATTCTTTACTCACATTCTTTACATATACTTCAAGAAATATTTAATAAACTTAGCATCGTTGAACCGGCTTCCGCTAGAACAATGAAAAGCTGGGAGCTAAATAGTAAAGGATGTGGGTAAAACTAGAGGTATGTAAGTAGAGAGATAGCTATATCTGAATTAAAAGCATAGTCTGCACTGCTGCATTCTAATAAAGAATAAACTTCGTGGTCTTTTTTTTGCCCATTAACATGCAACGAACGCATCGCTTAGATTGCCAGCCCGCATTTACAGCATAGCATATATTGTAAAAAAATTAATTATTTTTCTTAGGATTAAAAAAAAAAATTGACAAAATACAGGCTTCTCACACAAAAAAAGCACCCAGTTTCACTGAACTATTGAACTATTGATTTAAGTAAGTTCATTGTATAGATAATGCTAGTTATGGATAGTGCATATTGGTTAATAATACCCTAAAGCTACAGTTAACACCCAAAACCTCTTTTATCTACACTGTGGGATCCAGAAAGCGGTCGTAAATGTATTTTTATAAAGTAATTCAACTAAGTAGTAACGCACTCACACTGATGGGTGTTGAACGGGGCTCGTACGTTTTTAATACATCCAATATTTCAAATACGAAAGACTCGAAGGTACAACCTTCGAGTCTCTCTGACTGAAACTTTCTCCATACTCTTAAATTATCTTTAATCAGTTTGGAGTTTTCTTCTGAGGTCAGTTTTAGTTAACGTTTTATATGGCTTTACTTCTATATAGGTACCATATAGATTCTTGATAAACTACTCGTACTAAATTTAAAATTTGCGTATAATCATCATTACAGAAGGAAATATTTGTGGGTTTGAAGATATTGAAAGAATAGCATTTGATAAATGGAAAAGTAGGTAAGATCGGAAGGACACAAATTAGTTATACCGATGGAATGGAGAGTGTTCGCAATAGCTTGCTGGTCATGGTTACATAACTGTAATTTGAATTGACATTTGATTGTCGAAAGAAGATTGAGTCCTGTAATAACGGACATGTATGATCATCATTGGTTTTCTGAAAAATGAGGGTCCGAATTTAAATTTTGCAATTAGTTGGCTATGTGAGGTAATAGACTAGAATTAACTATCCTTTATTATCCATTCAAACTAGGAAAGTCAAGACGGGTCATCTGTAGGTCAATAATTACTGCCGCCCATGGGCGTGCAAAAGTGCGTTGTCTCCTCTTTAGGCTCCCCACTCCTAGAATCTGGGGGAGTGTCTGGACTGAATTTATTTGTGTTCTTATGGATTTTACTTATTAACACTTTGTCGTGCAAAAAAATTCCTTGAATGTATTCTTATTGTGGTACTTGTGGGTTACCTTTAGGAGACATACATCTAAAATTTGCGGACTTTTTTGAAGATCATATAAAACGCCTTTTGAATCACTCACTCTATTAGTTAAACCCGCATTAAAATCAGTTGCGTCGTTTAAAAGATCTTAAACGACGCAACTGACGACGACGACTTTATTTTATACTATGTATGTAAAGTATTGTATGTATTTGACTGCACGGATGGCGTAGTGGTTTAAGCGGTCGCAACGACGCTCACTACTACCCTGAGTGTTGTGGGTCCGATCCCCACATGGGGCGACACTTTAGCTGTTCTTTGTGTCCGTTTCTTGTATGTTTGTAAAGCCCCCCGCGATACAGGATATATTCCTAATGCGGGAGTTGTCTTTTTATTTTTTATTTTTTTGTTGAGGGTCTCCATTACAACCTAGAAGAGTTAAGAATATTAAATACCAGGATTAGAATGATGTAAAACTGAACGAAAATCATAAACTTATTTATGAAGTAGCTATCAGGTATCATCATCATGTCAGCATAATACTCGTATAGGACATAGGGTTCGCCGCAACAACCCTTATCCAAAGGCTTCCAAAGGCAATTTAATTCGAAATGGTATTTATTTATTTATATATAATAAGTTAATGCACAAGTGGGAGAGTAAGTAAGTGCGATGGGAGAGGTCTGCGGTGGACTGCGATAGGCTCATAATGATGAATGCACAAGTTGTACACAGGCGGACTAATTGCCCAGGGCATACTCTGCCAGTCGACTTTCGGGTGATGTAGAGAAATGATGCGGTAGGTGCAAGATCTAGCCTATAATCTTTACATAGTATAAAATAAAATCGCTTGTTTGTGTTGTATGCTTAGATCTTTGCGGTTTTTACTAATAGAGAGAGTGGTGGTTCAAGATGAATGTTTATATGTATAATACATGCATATTATAGTAGAGACAATCCGAGAATTTCAAAGATTTGTTGTAAAAACCCGTCAGGTACGAGTCGTGCGCCGAGGGTTCCGTACCTACTCAGATTTTACGTAGATTTTCACGAAAATTTGTAAGTACCAAAATTTATCTTAATTTTCAACTTTTTCTATTTTTTGGTATTATTCCTTTGTGTGTGCTGTAAGACGTTTCTTTTTTGCCAAACTTCGTGATTCTAGGTCAACGGGAACTACCATATAGGTTTTCGACCCAAAACCTATAAGTACTAAGGTGGGTGGACCATGGAAGGCCACGCTCCTTTGAAGGCCAACTATTAAAAAGTCGTAGTTATTGACATGTAAAGACATATTCCTTCTACTACACACTACAATCCATTAAACTGAAGGCCACAGACGCGGCTGCGAGTCGCTCGCGCCGCTATTGTGGCAGTGTGATCTCACACTTCGTAGACTTCGGTCGTCGACGTTACAATTGTAATTCGCGCGCACAGCAAAACGTAAGTTTTTAGTTAAATAACCTATTGTTTCCTTATATTCTTTACTGTGAATTGTCGTGTAGGGATATTTTTATGGAACTCAAGAAAAAAAAAAGAAATTGCCTCGATTTAAATGAAAATATTGGGCGTGTTCCTAGGAAAGCCGGTGGTTCCTTATAAGGCCAATCAAAAATTTGACGGTTGGCCTTGCTAGGGAACATGGGCCTTACATCTATAAACCATGAACATATGAACACTTATTATGTAGTTATAAATACGTACCGTTAAAGTTAAAACAATGTTTTATATTTATAATATTTTTTTAAGGGTTTTCTAACTTTTAAACTCAGATTGAATAGACATTTTTTTCAAAAATATTTTATTTTCAGTATATATTTAAATTTATTTTATGTCTATGAAGAGGTTATGTCTGGAAATAAACTAAACTAATTTACATGAAAAGCAACGAGTACAAAAAATATTTGCTTGTTAAAAGCGGTAAAGTAAGTATGAGATAAGTTAAAAATTGTATATCTAAAATAGTCTGTCTAAAACTATAATTAAAGCAAAAAAAAAATATATCAATAAGTTGATAATTGAACAGATGATTAAAATTTATACGTATTATTTCAGATTTCGAGAATGTCACAGTCAAAACCTAGGAAAAGAGGTAGTTAATGGAACGAAGATAGTTTAAGACGAGCCATGGAAGCAGGACAAAATAATGAACTAAATACAAATGCTGCAGCGTTGAAGTTTAATATTCCAAGACGCACCCTTAGAAACCATTTAGTAAGCGGTAACAATATTAAAATTATTCTGAAGACAACTATTCTCAGAAAACAATTAGAAGAAGATTTATCGCACCTAATCAAACGTTTTATTATTATTATTTTCGTTTTTTAATCTTAAGAACCGTTGATGTTAAATATTCCTGACTACAAGACTGACTATGTGCCATGATAAGTTTGTAATAATTACAGTACGTCTGTAGTGTCTATTATTTTATTATAATTAATATAAACAAGTCAGAGATTGTTAGTTTGGCCTTCTTAGGAACATTGTGGCCTTACAAAGAACGGAGCCTTAAGAAGGCCATATAAGATAAAAAAAAAAGTTTTTAATTTGATTA